GCACCCCTTCCAGGCAGGGGGCAGCCACAGCTTCTCTGGGCAACCTGTGCCAGTGCCTCACCACCCTCAGAGGGAAGAATTTCTTCCTTAGATCCCATCGAAATCTCCCCTCTTTCAGTTTAAAGCCATTGCCCCGTGTCCCATCACTCCACACCCGTGTCCAAAGCCCCTCTCCAGCTTTCCTGGAGCCCCTTTAGGTACTGGAAGGTGCTGGAAGGTCTCCCCGGAGCCTTCTCTTCTCCAGGCTGAACAGCCCCAACTCTCCCAGCCTGTCTCCAGAGCAGAGGTGCTCCAGCCCTCGCATCATCTCCGTGGCCTCCTCTGGCCCTGTTCCAACAGCTCCATGTCCTTCTGCTGTTGGGGCCCCCAGAGCTGAAGGCAGCACTGCAGGGGGGTCTCAAGGAGCAGAGCAGAGGGGCAGAATCCCCTCCCTCAACCTGCTGCCCACACAACATTAAGTACTATTAACTACTAACAGTAGTTTCTGTTACCAGTGACTTATCTTTGTTAGAACTAGTATCAAGTTCCAACGGGTTCTTTCAGAACTCAAAACACACAAAGCACAAAATAGACAAGTTGTGCTAAAGAAGAGTCAACCCCGTTGGGTACGTGTCACAAACTTACACAGCTGTGTAACCTAGAGAAAAGACAAGCTGAGTGATAACCCCACCACTGCATGGCAAAGCTGTGGCAGGGAGAGAGCCTGGGAGAATTCTCCTGCCGGATCACCGCTGCCAGACTCGCACACATCCCAAAGCCGGCACTCCGGCCTCGCACAGGTCCTCTGCTTCCATCACCGACGGGGCAGAAACGCTCCACCATCGTTTATTCCCACCATCCACCCACCCTCAGCCCCCCGAGACGGAACAGTTCCTTACTTCTGTGGCGTTTTAATGACCAAGTGCACAGTCAGCCCATCTTTGATCCCATGTTGATTCAACGTGTCTCCATCCTTGAGGATCTTCCCAGCAAAGATCAGAACCAGCTGATCCTGTTTGGCTTTAAACCGTCTGGAAATCTCTTCTTTGAACTGAAAAACAAACAAAGCCTTTTTCAGGCAAAGGATGGAGACCAGAAGTTTAAAGTTGATACTCCAGGTATCATATCCACTATAAAACCAGGATAAGGAACTGACAGACCTCCAGCACCTCACCCAGAAAGAGCCCGGGCAGGTACCAGTTCAGTCACTAGTTGCTGAGGATGGCCAAGACATTACGGGGAAAAAAAAAAAAAATAAAAGACAAGCTCTACACTTCCAAAATGTGGAGTAAATTTCCGAAAGAACAGAGCAATTACCTCAGGAAGAGCTGAAGGCTTCCAAAGCAAGATCAAGTGTCTCTCTTAGGTCTAATCCAAATACACCATTTATCCTCTGAATGACTGAACCTTTTTTTTGCCTCTGCTCATCTGATTTTTTTTCCTAAGGAAAGCCCAACTCTGATTTAATACAGGACAGAACTCTACGGAAAAGGGAACAATCCTTTATCAGCCAATGGAAACAAACTAGGTCTTCTCCAATTCCTATTTCTGCAGCTGAATTCCCTACGAGAACGCCGCACCACGCAGCACTGCCACCTCTTCCTTAGTGTGTGATGGGGTGGGATTAACACCTGCCAAAGAGATCCTCACTGCCAGCCCAGATGGGGCATTCCCAAGCTGATCTGTGAGGAAAAAAAGCATTTGGAAGCCACAAACTATAGGAAATCCAGAGGGAAAGGCCAGGAGGAAAAAAGAAGCACACACCTGTCCCAGAGGAGCTCGCAGCCTTCGCACCAGAACCCTCAAAACCACCTGGGAGAAGGTGGCCCTGAGCCCCACGTTGTCCTGGCTGCAAAGCTCCGTGCTCCTTTCTGCACAAAGCCATCACATAACATCCCGTTTACACCACCGGGCTCTCAGGAGCTGGCCAGGAAGGCTGCACATCCCGCAGCCCCTG